GAAACATTTGCCGTACGACACAATTTTTGCTAAATATGGCGAAAACGTTGATCGCGCCAAAAGCCGAAAAGACCAGGTGCGGCTAGACGCAAAAGGAGACAATCGGCGAGAAAACTGCGCGGAAGTCGCACGACTAGCGAGTTTTGGAAGGAGATCGTGACACGGCAAATGTTTAATCTTTTTTTTGTGTTAATTAATTAATTAATTAATAAATATTAACTGACAAGAGTTGACCATAACTGTTAATTTAACCAAAATGATATCTCACAATACCACCATTTAACAAGAATCAAAAAATCATAAAAGTTTATTATAAGAAATATTATTATAATTTAGCTTTGAGAAATAAAGTAAGAATAAAATAAAAAGATAAATAAAAAGATAATAAATTTATAGTGGAGATTAAATTAGTCGTTCTCCTTTTACTATTGTTACTAGAATTTATTGTTTGTTAGTAATTAATTAATAATTATTGCTTAACATTCTAGAGGAAAGGTTAAAATCAAGATTATTTAACGAACTTGTAAAAAATTTTAAGCTTTTAGATTTAGCAATCTTTTCATCCAATATTCTACTTGCATGATATGCATCTGGATGTGATTTGTGTACTTGTTGCAAATCACTACCATCATTATTAAAATCAATTTCATGTTTTTTGATTTTAGAAAACTTGAATAATCTTTTTATTATTGATTTTTCAAATTTTTATTTTCAAAAGTTTCATTATGTTTATTTCTAGAAAAATAATAAAGCTCTCTATTAGTTGGTCTTTTTGGTGGATTCACATCTCAACACCTCTGCATCATTTGCGCATAATCGTCAGGCATTTCAGGTAATAGTGGTGGTCTTAAACCTTCACATATATCAAAAATCAAATGACGATTGTGAGCACTATCATCAAATTGTGGATGACTTGCAAATATTTCCCATATTAACATCCCAACACTATAGATATCTGTTTCTTTGGTGTTATTTTTGCCTCTAAATAACTCAGGTGCAATATATGGTACAATTCCATAGACTTTATTTGGTGACTTTTCATCAACTGGTCCACATAATCCTAAATCTGTAATATAACAATGGATTAAATCTTTTTCATATATATGATATAATGTATCACATGAACATTTAAAGATTGTAATTCTGTCTTTTAATGTTAAATGACTTTTTTGCAAATAACCCTTTAAATTTCCCTCTGGAACATAAGATAAAACTATTGCATAATTTCCATTATCTGGGAATTTAGTTATACCATGGCAGCTAACAATTAATTGTGATCTAATTTTACAATAATTCAATGCCTGAAAATAAATAAAATACATTAGTATTTATTATATAAACAGTATTGTTTATTTTGTTTTAAATGACAACTACCAACCTCGTCAAAAAATCCTTTTTATCATAATCACTTGTTCTTCCTCTTGTCCATGTAGCAGTAAAAATCGAACAAAATCCGCCTTCAGTTAACTTTGTTACTTTTTCAAATTGCTCAAAAGGTATCCATTCTAAAATGTAAGTTAGCAGAGACGATTTCATTTGACATTGCTGAATAAAATCATCAATTATGTTATTTCCAGATGTCCAAGTGGTGAAAAGTCTCTGTAATTTTAAACTAATACAACCTTTACAGTATCTATCAGAGTATTTTGTCAATTTACACCTGTCACATGCTTTTTGATTTGTCTTCTTTATCTCTTGCATTATCTAATTCAAAATTATAAATAAACCTTTTTTTACAATGTTCTTTTTCACTTTTAGAAAGTTCCTTGTTTTTAATGAAAAAAAAAATCTTTTCTACTTTCTCTATCAGAGTTAACAATAATATTATCAAGTATTTCACTATAAATTTTATATACAAATTCCTTTCCTTCTAGTGATAATGATGATAATAGTTTAAAATGTGACATTATATAAAATATAAAATATAAGGTGTTTTAATGAATAGAGTGGAGAAGTGATGGTTTTTTTTCTTTTGAACTGAATAGCATGTAACAAAAATTTTCTGTCCTCTTTTTGTTTCCTTATTACTGTCATCATATGGTAGTGTGCACCTTTTTCGCATTATTAACAAATTTTGAATTAAGAACAATTTTGACATCAACAAAATTCATCATGGTTCTAATACTTTAATAATAAATATTTTTTCTTTTTTCTTCGTTTATTATTTTTACCCTTCAAAATTAAGAAGACTTGTGTATGAGTTCAATGTCTCCTACCATGAATCATTCTGATATTGAAGTTTTTAATATATCTGCTTCATTTTTCTTCTCCCTTTGATGCTGGCTTACCTGAAACTATTTTAAATAGATGAAACTAAATCAAAAGTCAAAACTAGTTTCAATTTATGATGACTTTTGTAAACTTATAGTTGCGGCCAACATTAGTTTAGCCCCTGCCATTGAGTTCAGATTTATTATAAAAAAAACTGATTTATCAAAACATTTTAAATATTTGACTTTCTTATGATTTAAATACATAATCGGTGATAATTTTCCTTGATGGAAAATGTCTATTTCTTGAAGAGCTAATATTGAATAAAATTGAAATTTGAAGAATTTTACGGGTCTATAATCACGCGTATTTCTTTTTTTGATCTGATGACCACAGAGTTTTCAAACTATATTATTACAACGTGTAAGTTAACCTTAAAACATTTGATTTTCTAAAAATATATACTTTCTATAAGAACGGTTAAAAAGAATTCAAAAACAAAAACAAAAAATTTATAAAATGCAGCATTATTATTATTATTATCACACGTTGGCACTTTTCTATTTATATTTCTTAGAACATTGTCATCATAAACTGCTACTCTATTGGCTAGCTCGGTTTAATTAATTTATTGATAGAGAGAGATCCAGAAGACTCAGAGGACAGCATCAGGAAACATTATTTGTAACACATTATACTTTCATCATCTATACTCTATAAAATTACATTACATTGACATTTTTTAGTTATCATTTACAAAAAAAAAAATTTAAAAATTAATGTTATTATTATTGTTTTATTGCTCACAAACAAAAAAAAAATCAGTATATAGTAAATTTAATTTAGGACTAACACTAATTGGTTCCGTTTATATTTTTAAAATAAATATTTACAACTAATTGGTTCAACTGAATCACGTGGTCAGGTTGTGGATGTTACACGTGCATATAACCATTTAGTCCAAAATGTATATATAAATTTCATTTAATTCTCGGAAAAAAAAAAATAGAATGAAAACGATTTCTTGTTAAAAAAAATAATAAACCATTATTTATAACAATAACCTTTACGCGTATTATTAATAAATAAAACAAAATAAATTTCACGCATCTTGATTTTTAACAAAAAAAAAAAAAAACAGATTATAAATATAATAAGATCAAATAATAACATTATTACTGTTTTAGAAATTGGTTGATTTTTTTATTTCTTTGATTACTTTTTGGTAAAAATGGGAAACTGCTGTTGTGGTGCTGCTGTAGGTGTTTAATTTATTAGTTGTTTTTTTTTTTTATTTTTTTTGAGTTTTAACGAATATAAAAAATATTTTTTATATTAATTAAATGATAATTTTAACAGCAGAAACTTTGTATAAATTGTAAGGTAATTTGAATATTATTATTTAAATAAATGAAAATTTATTTATTTATATATGTAAACTTACGTGAATATAATATATTTATATTTATATAGGAAAAAGAAGCATATACAGGTTCACTTTGGTGCTCAAAACATTGTAGAAATCAAACTCCAAACTGGCAAAGATTGACGAATGAAAAAAGTAAACGACTTTGCATATATTGTAAAAGAAAAAATGCGCTTAAAGGAAGTGATTTTTGTTCTAATGATTGTGAAATATCTATTAAAAGAATGGGTATATATATTTTTTCTCTTTGAATCAAATTATAGTTTCGTGTTTGTCTATTTACAATAACAAAAACATTGATTTTTTTTTAGCGCCATGTTTGTTGAGGTTGCCATCAGATGGTCAAAAATACAAAGATATAACTAATCAATTTATAACTGCTTGGAAACACCCTGGAAAAACTCCACCGGAAGTTGCTGATATATGGAAGATCTTTTGTTCAGAAAATTTAAATACTCGGTATAATATGTATCGTAATGAAGTTGAAAATAAACGTAAATTTGCTGGTAAATTTTTCGGAAAAGGTGAGGGAAAACGTAAAATGAGTGCAGGAAATGAACAAAGAAGATTTCATGGAACAAAAACGTTCGTACCGACTATCATTGTTGTTATTATTATTACTATTATTATTATTATTTAAATTATTATTAACCTTGTCAGTATTTTTTTAGGTCGTGTTATATAGGTTTAACAAGTGGTGATGTGTGTAACGGCCCAGCATGTTCCGTTTGTTGCATTATAAGAGAAGGTTACAAGCTGAGATATGCGAACACCACATATCAAAGATTTGGCAGAGGTATATATTTCTCTGGAACATCATCCAAATCTGATGATTATAATGAAGGCTCATTAAAATATTCTCAAGGCTCAAAATACAAAGTAATGATATTGAATAAAGTTGTTGTTGGACAAGGATATCAATTAACTAAAAATAGTATGGATTTAACTGAGCCCCCAGCAGGTTTTGATTCAATATTAGGTGAACCAAGTGATACTGGCAACTTAAATTACGATGAAATTGTTGTATATAGAGAGGAATCATCCATCCCTCAATATTTGATTGTTTACAAAGTTTAATAATAATTTAGAGTAACTTAAATCATGTATTATTTTTTTATTTTTAGAATCTGTATTATTTGTTTATTTGTTTATTTGTTTATTTGTTTATTTATTTATTTATTTACTATTTATTTATTTATTTAATTTCGACATGGCAACATTAATTCATAAACAAAATGTCTGTTACAACCATCAAACTACTAACTAGTTTATGTCAGAAAGAATAATGTTTACATAATCACAAAGATTCATTTAAAAGTTTGTATATTTTTTAACATTTAAAAAAATGTCATGGCTAATCTCACTAGACATTTGTAAATCTACGATAGAAGAAGAATCACATTTTTTCGTTCTTCAATTACAGTGTGATAAGGGCCACCTTTAATCACAACTTCAAATTTGTCAAATACATGTATCAAAGGTTCTTTAAACATTCCGGTGGTTGGATTGAATCCAATACAATATGCATATAGGATCCCAGATCATATATACAAATACGGGAGGTAAATGGCTAAAAGGGTTGTTATTACTGCGGTCATTGTTGTATGAGTTTTTTGAGGTCCAGGCAACATGATGGTTGTATATGCAGTAAAATTTTTGAGCAGGAGTAACAATAATAAAGTAATTCAGGCAACAAAAATAATTGTTACGTTGAAATTGCATATTAAAGTTCGCATGGGTATAGCAGCCCTATGTATATATTTTGATTACTAAGTCTCGTTCAATAATAATAAAACATGTATATTTACAAATGAAAACGCTGATGTCAAATTTGCTAGATTTTATCAAATGTCAGAGTATCCAATGAAGCAGATAAATAGCCACATCAAATTAAAAGTTGTTAAATTTACTGAGATAATATTAAGAATTATAAATTTTGATAATAGAGTTACCACTTCAGACACCAATTCTTTTGATATTCCGACGAAGGATTGGAAATCTTTTGCGATAAAAATATTCAGAAACGAAGAGATTTTTTTGGGAAGGTGATTTTGTAAAAGAAGATATGAGAACGTCATTGCGGTCTTTGACAAAAATTACTAAATTTATATACGTTATTTTCAAACACGTTTGATATCACTAAAGATTGATAACATAATTTGCAAATATCGAATTATTTTAAATTTATATTTTCTACAACATATGCTTTAATTGTTTTGGCCTCCATTATTATATCTATTACTTAAACCGATATATCACTTGACAATTTACAGTCAAACTTTGCCACAACGGACATAAGAAAATTTTATTTAAAATCCGTTATGTCAAAATTACTAATAACGGATTTTATGTTTTTATATTATAATTAGATATGTGAATATAAATCAAAAAATTTTAAAATCTGTCATAACGCGACTTTATAACCGCTGTGCAAGTTTGACGATAGTTATTCTTTTTAATTTTTTTGTTTAAAAAAGAAAGATATTTTTCTGCTCGCTTTTCAATATAATGACATACAATTAGTTTACCGCAAGGGTTATAGACTGTAAATGTTTTATGAAATTTATACAGTCATTTCAAACCGTGTATTTTTCAAATGTTTATTGAAAATAAATAACAAATACAAAATTTACAAAAAATACAATTATTAAATTAATTAAAATCAACATAATCGATATAATAATTATTTGAATTTTGAATGAATACTATCTCTTATATTATAAAATCTAGCGGTTCTTTGAGGTGGAATAGGGAATATATGAGCAAGGTTGGTTGAACTAACTCTATTTGTATTATTATTTCTACCACCACCATGATTGTTATGATTAGCATTATTATGATTAGCATTATTATTATTATTATTATTATTAGCATTATTATTATTATTATTATTATTAAAGGAATCGGTAGTGTTTCTTTTAGAATATCCAAATTTATTATAATCTATTTTTAATACGTAAGAAGATATTCTATTTAATTCAATCACAGGTGGTTTATTCGGAAGTTTTTTGGTCGATCCAAGAGAATTTCCATCATAGTCAATTCCACTGCCAACAACAGTGCTATCATTGAAATGAGCATTGTTTTTATTATTAGCGGTACCATCACTGCCACCATTACCAATATTTAACCAATGATTATTGTCGTCTAAATGTGATGGGATGGTTCTGGGTTGTATCATTAATCCATCTTCATTTAGTTTTCTCAGCTTCTTATAATATAAATATTTACGATATAGTAAAATGCCTATTATAAGGAATACCAGCACAACTATTGAAACCATTATTGCTATGGCTATTGGACTTATTCGGGATATGGGATCTTGTTCTTTAACATGATTATCATCATTTTTTTTGTCATTATTATTATCATTATTTACAGTTATTGGTTTTGGTGATGGTGATGGTGGTGGTGGTAGAGGTGTTGGTGTTGTTTGAATTGACGTTATCGTTTGTATTGGTGTTAATGTTGGCGTTGGCGTTGGCGTTGATGTTTTTCGAGGTGTTCGAGCAGCTTTGGTTGTTTTATTTGCTTCATCAGATTTGGTAATGCCTGCATCTCTTTTTTTATTTTTCATTAAATTATCACTTCGTCCAAGATTTACCATGTTTATATCATTATTCTAATATATATATATATATATATATTGAAATGGGTAAGAATTAATGGAGAAAAGGTGAATTGTAATGACGAATAATAATTTTCTTGGCAAACGTGGAGAAAAATGAAACAACGGTTGGATGACGTTTTGATAATAAATGAATTAATTGGACTGATGATGATGTAACAACCAAAAGAAATGTTGTAAAGAAAGAAAGTAAGTTTGTTAAAAAAAAGACAAAAACCTCCTAATAACGGTAAAAAAAATTTTTTTTTTTATCATAAAAAATGCGAATTCTAATTTTATTTATAAAAAATTTTTGTGAAATTATTAATTAATTAACTAACCAAAATAATAATATAAAATATACAAATTTGTATTTATAAATAATTTATATTGTGATATTGCGTGGTGTATGGTGCAGATCATCTAAAAGACATAAAAAAAAATAGCCAATCTTTAAGATGCCAAGGCTCAATAACTATATTTGGAAGCGAGAAAAAACTTTCTCACATTTGCAATCTTTAAAACCTAAGCGGAGAATGTAATAGAAAATTTTTTATGAATAAAATTGCACGATTTTACTATCAAAAAATTTGAATTTGGCCAATGAGATTTACCAGTGATACTTTCTATTTATATTTAAGAAAGATTTTACTACGTATAGATCGCGTGACCAGAATAAATCAATCTAATTTATCTATTGTACGTAGCAAATTGGATTAAACAAATTTGCTTCACTTGCCACGCTGACTTCCCATTTAAACAAACTCAATTCCTCCTATATTATTCAAGGTATGTACGTACGCCCCCTTGGCTTCCCAAAATATTCTTGTTTCTAGCAATATTGATTGGCTAATTTTGGCGCGCCAAACAAGTATTGAGTCATGTGATTTTATAATATTATGACGTAAGAATATCATTGCTTATTTTGGATGATAATTAGCCACGTGGGGCAGCATTTGACACCAATTTGTAGGTGCACTTATCAAAACAAATAAACTCGTCACTCTTTTGAGAAATATCAAACTCGACCTGCATATTAATATGCGTGCAACCCACCTAATGAATTAAATGAATGAACACAAACACTATTCGTGTCCTGTTATCAATTTTTTTCTAAAAGAAAAACTTTTCCGAGAAAAAGTTCTTCTAACTCATCATCTCTTTCCTATAAACGTATTATAGAAAAATAAAAAGTCATGCAAGTTTACAAAAACATAAAGAGATCAATTAACAAACAGAAACATATGGGTCGATTTTTATATTCATCATTAAAAATCAGTCCATATGAATTTTCAACTCACATCGGCACCATTGCACCCTCCTGATTCCATCGCCAATGCATTACATCGAATAATTCATCGGTGAAAGGCCGAGACTTGGAATGCCCTATTACAATAATCATATAATATAGCGCACATATAAGCATATTAAAAACAAAATAAATTCTCTTGCTCTTTGGAAGAAAATCAATTATTTACAGATGTCGTGATGTCCTATTAAGTAAATATAAATACAAGAGATCAATCAAAGTTTAGATATAGTCTCCAGGCACATAATTATATTTAAATATTTCCTAAAGTAAGAATTCTTGCAATAACCAATATTTATAAAGATGAAAAATAAACCTATAAATCCCCTATGTTTCCTAATATCGCCCCCATCTATTGAGTAAATGATTGTTATTTAATCCGTAAAAGTTGTAATTGTGTTTTAATAAATATTGTTGGATACTATCAATTAAAAAATAACGAGCCAAAAAAAATAATAAATATATATGTGTGTAAAAATTATTGAATAAAGTCTTCTTTGTGTTGATTACAATTATGATTTATTAGAAATGGTTTTACAAAATACATATGGTATTTTTATAAATAAATTTTAATCTCCGAATAGGTATCATTACGCAAATATATTGGTAATAGGAAAACAATAGTGGCATCGGGAAGATATTATTAACAAACTAAAAAGACCCCCAAGTGCAGACCCCCTATAATAAATGCACACTCTCATCCATTCCCAAGTTCATAAATGCACACACACCCTGCACTGCACGAAAAATAGTTAAAGAATATAAAAAAATAATAATGATATATAATTAACAAAAAAATAATAACGATATTATATAATTAACAAAAAGATTAAAAATAATTAAATATATGAAAAAATAATAGTGATAATTAACAAACTAAAAAGATAAAAAAAAAGCTATACTAGTAAAATAACTGATTAAATTATCGGAATTGGAAGAGCTGAGAGAAAGTCTGATAGAAAAATTTCCATAATGATAATACCCTTTATTCATTTGTAAACTAGAATCGTTAATTCGTGATGGTGTAGATTTTTCCCAAAGCCCAAACTTTAGTCCGTAGGTAACCTTCCTTTATATGGATTTAGAAACAACAATATACTGGTAATACAGTACATGCACAAAATCTCTAAGATTTAAATTTGTCAAATTTTTTAAAAACTTTCTTATAAACTATCTTTACTTCTATATGACACCAAGTTGGATTCCTGCTTAAATTTATTATATAAATTCGAAATTTAAAAATTTAATGGATGTTAAGATCTGGTAATGTCTACTCTTTTGCCTGGTAGAGTTCATAAACTCCTCTCAATAACAACTCTTCATCACCTCCATCGGATATTTAGGAATTTGTAATTCTATTGGAAAGATTGCTTCTCTTCCATGCGTTAGGTAAAATGGTTTATGACATATTAATAGAAAATTAATATACAACCTATTTAGCTCTATATTTAATGGCACTTGAAATAAAAGAATGTGGCATAACCACTGCAAAACTAAAAGTAATTTTTTTTATTTAAACTTGAAGGTAAATAAATACATATATTATATAATTTTTTAAATGATAGAATAAATTTATAAGCATTTCCACCTCTAAGAATTTTTTTGGTACATGTTTACCACTACCATTCTTCTCATATTTTTGGACTTCTTTTAATGCCCAACTACCTACTAGTAGAAATTCAAATAATTATAATGGACTGTGGTATGTAAAATATTTAATACTCTCTATTATTACTGTTATGAAAAAAAAATTTTTATCTTGAACCCATATTCTGATTTCTCAAAGACAAGTAATTTAAAAGATCCTAACATATATCATATTCTTGAACAACAGTAATAAAAAATTATCACATTAGAAATAACTGATGTTTTCATGCCAAAACAAATAGGACGCGAATAAAATTAATTTGAATTATTGGTTTGTCTTGTTTTCCCACCAGTTTTGAGAAAAGTTGCCAAAATGTAAATTCTCTTTTAAAGAGCCAACTGAAACTGTATAATCTTTACCTTTACTAATTATTTTAAATGTTTTTTACTCGATATAAAAAAAAAGATTATTGAGAAAAGTGAGACTCTCAATTTTTTGAAAATACTAATACTAATTAGTATTAGTAATACTTATTATTATCACTATACATGATATGGTAATTAGCTAATTACCGTAAATACATAATTCGTAATTAACGTAATTAATTACCACTTTCACTCTTTAAAAACGTAATTACGTAATTAATTACGAAATTAATTACGGCGACAAATTAATTTATTATTGTGAAAATTTTCTATGCAAACCGTTTTTAACACTATACATGGGATGGTAATTGCATAATTACCGTAAGTACGTAATTATCGTAGTTAATTACCATTTTCCTCTTTAAA